TAATAAAAGCCTTATACAATCTTAGTAGAGTATCTTTAGAGATAAGTTTACGAAATCTTAGCATTACATTGAACTGGCCATTTGTCTTCTTACAAATAGTTGATATATAATTATCAAAACGCAACCTATTGTCAATATTTATTCCAAATATATCCAAAGAATCTTTTAATGGAAAAGAGAAGGAGTGGCCTGTTTTTCCCAAGACTATAGCCTGGTGTTTTGTCTCATTTACAATCATTCCATTACTGCGATACCACTTATTTGCAACTCTCGCTTCCTGACAAATACAGTTCTCTAAAGCTACTGGGTCGACATCAGAAGAGTATAACTGATGATCGTCCGCATATGCGTGAAATTTACCTTGCGTAACCGAGTAAAACAAGTCGTCGATGAATATATTAAAAAACACAGGCCCCAAAACACTTCCTTGCGGAACTCCTCTTTTATCATCTTTCCAACTGGAAAAGGTGTCCCCAATCTTTACTCTCTGTTGTCTCCCCGAAAAATAATCTTTGAAGAGTGCTAAAGTTCTCTCTCCCACACCATAAGCTTTGAGTTTTGCTAAAAGTCCTCGGAACTTGCATGATGTACAGATCACGTCTGTTGAGACATTGCTGAGAAAAAGTTTTGATTTGAATCCCGCATCAGTAGATGCCATTGTGAAATCATTTTGAGATGTTTATCGTCTTTTGTAGTGTCACGTAGGGCAAGAACTAAAAAGATTATATCTTTGGATCTAAACAATTTGCTGATTTAAAGGGTAGAATGCCCTCTATTCAAACAAAATAAATTCCCCTAAGTTTTATGATGCACCGTTCACACCTAAAAGAAAGTCTGTTTAAATTTCTGTTTTNTTAACGGCCTGCTCCCAGTTGGCTTGTTAGCTCAATTGGTAGAGCGCTGCACTAGTATCGCAGAGGTCAGTGGTTCGAGTCCCGTACAGGCCTGATTTTTTTCAGGTCTGATTTTCGCTGTTGCATAAATAGCGCTATCTACTGCGAGGATCGTGCATCATACGTATCTAATACCGCAGTTCAAAATATATGAACTTCATATATTTCATTGTATCTGATATCCAAATTATTTCGTTACTCCCACCGACGCAGCCCCAAACAGTTTCTTTCGAAACTGTCAGCCTTTATTCATTTATTCCAAATATATCCAAAGAATCTTTTAATGGAAAAGAGAAGGAGTGGCCTGTTTTTCCCAAGACTATAGCCTGGTGTTTTGTCTCATTTACAATCATTCCATTACTGCGATACCACTTATTTGCAACTCTCGCTTCCTGACAAATACAGTTCTCTAAAGCTACTGGGTCGACATCAGAAGAGTATAACTGATGATCGTCCGCATATGCGTGAAATTTACCTTGCGTAACCGAGTAAAACAAGTCGTCGATGAATATATTAAAAAACACAGGCCCCAAAACACTTCCTTGCGGAACTCCTCTTTTATCATCTTTCCAACTGGAAAAGGTGTCCCCAATCTTTACTCTCTGTTGTCTCCCCGAAAAATAATCTTTGAAGAGTGCTAAAGTTCTCTCTCCCACACCATAAGCTTTGAGTTTTGCTAAAAGTCCTCGGAACTTGCATGATGTACAGATCACGTCTGTTGAGACATTGCTGAGAAAAAGTTTTGATTTGAATCCCGCATCAGTAGATGCCATTGTGAAATCATTTTGAGATGTTTATCGTCTTTTGTAGTGTCACGTAGGGCAAGAACTAAAAAGATTATATCTTTGGATCTAAACAATTTGCTGATTTAAAGGGTAGAATGCCCTCTATTCAAACAAAATAAATTCCCCTAAGTTTTATGATGCACCGTTCACACCTAAAAGAAAGTCTGTTTAAATTTCTGTTTTAAATCGCGCACAATTCTGAAGTAATTGTGAGACGTTTATCGCTTTCTGCTGCATTCCACAGTGTCACGCCAAGAACTGAGAACAAAATGTGCAAGTGGCTATGATCCAGAAATCACAAAAGGAGAGAAATTCACAGTGTATCGAGCGCGAATGTCGAACTACTAAGGTACTCCGAAAAAAGCAGTAAGTAGCACCGGGAAAAATCGAAATTGGGTCAAGATCGGAATTTTATTCATACACTCACTCACTCACTCAACAAGATGCCACAAAAATACCAGTTAATCTTGAAGGTAGGGTGGGGTGTACTTTTTTTTGTACACTATTAATTGTCGCGCATGTGTTTTTCTTTTTTCACTTTCTAGGATATTTCTTTACACTATTTCTCTCTGCATGCGATGTTTTCTGCGAAATCCCACCATAAAATTTTTAGGTTGTAATTGCTCAGCCCCCTCCTCTCCCCTGCCATACTTACTCACATATTTATGCAGTAGGATTTGCTTGTCTTTATGAACCACCTCACGGTTTAACCACAGAGGATAACGCTTGGTCGGGGAGGAAAAAAATTTTAATGCCATCAACTTCTTTTGATTTTCTCTGTTGAAATTTGACCTATACTCTAATGTTAACACTCGGAAAAATATAATAACTTTTTTGCTAGTCTCTTTTCGAGGTATCTGAGGTTCCTTCTGGTCGTTAATACGCAATGATTCGTTCCCAATTTCTCAGCACCTATGTTCCCTTTGCTCATGACCGATGAAATATCTTACTGAAGAGGCAAAAGCGTCTGTGAAGAGTAAAGAGAAGGAAGTAGAGGAAGTTTACAGCTGTATAAAGAAGCAAGATGAAACGATAAAAAATTTATTCGCGTCTTAAATAGTACAAAAATTGAAACATCTATTCAACCCGAACTCGCACAATGGAGATAGTTTTGTTACAAATGAATCCTTAGCATCAAGTCTCAGGGTTGTCAAAACATTTTGAGAAACCGTACTGTGATGCAAAGAAGATGGCACTTAGAAAGTTTTCCTTCCGTCAATGTCATTCTTCGATGCTGATGATTGAGCTACATGCCTTCCGAACTGCTGGTGCGTTTTCCAGAGCTGAGATGACGAAATGGGCCGGTTGCCGGCTTATTTTGACAGCCCTGTTTTAAATAAATCCAGTACATCTATATTGACTATCCTAAAAAAAACTTTATAATATACATTACAATCAAAGAAATATTTTTACTCGCGCGCATTGGTCAGAACGTTTCACGTGATCGAATATCCCCCGAATAAAACCGGGGAATAACGGAGGATATACCCCAAGTGATATTCCCTAATTTTCAAATCTTACATCCGATACGGAAAACTTTGCTCTTAAAATTGAATTCAAGATGAAAATACGTTGCGTGGCTGTTACAGAAGAATGAGCCATGTTTTTTTTTGTTCATAAAATCACACCAGAGAACACTAAAAAGTGAACAACTCACGCCGTTAACTGCGAGCTATTCGCAAACACTTTTCTCGCGCGTTGAAAAATATTCGAAGGACAATAAACAAAATAGCCTTCATTTGGCGTAAAAATATCCACGTATATTTTTCCTTAGACATTGTCTGTTCCTCGAGGCTTACAGTTTTTCTCGAGCTTCGCTCGCGGAAAACTGTTCGCATTTCGAAACAGATAATGTCCGCGAATAAAATTCGGGCACATTTTCGCATCAACCGGTGGCTATTGTTTACATACATGTATATACGTACAATCCGCAATAAGGAATGTCCGGTGCTTGAACCGCCTCCCGGTTAGCTCAATGGATAGAGCGCTGGACTGTTGTGCGGGAGGTCGAGGGTTCAAGCCCCGGCCGGACCAACACTCAGGGTCTTAAAATAATTGAGAAGAATTTGCTACCTTTCTATAACATCAAGAAATGGTTAGATATTCTAGTCTTCTCGGATTGAGACGAATAAATGGAGGTCCCGTCTCCTGCAGGGTTGGGGTAGGAGACGTTAATTTCCCACACACGAGATTACGGTGTGATGGATGTTCTCCCCTGGGGTGGGATTGGTGGGTTCATTGGGCCCGCAGTAATCGGCGCAAGCTGTTGCGGTCTCCCTGCCGGTTGGCGAAGCTAAATTAATAAATAAATCGTAAGAAATGGCATACCTCGCTCACAGAGACATCTTCACAGGTTCAACACTTTAGGCACAACCGAGGTAAATAAAACCTATATTCTCAAGGTGCTAAAAAATAATTTGTACGTACAATAAAAACCCGCACACAAGAACACCCATTTTCGGGGTTCAGGCTGATTGGGTTCTTATATATCGGGTATTTTAGGTGAAATCAGCCTGAAAGTGTTCTCCAGTGTTCTTAATTTTTTACTTCTAAAAAAATGTAAGGGATTTACTAACTACGATGAAATACATAACTTATAATTGTAATTAAAAGACTTTTAATTCCAAATACAGTTCAATTGTACATTTGCTATACACAGCAAGTGAAATTACTAGCATTTATAAAGAGATCTTAGTGCAATACCACAGTAAAGCTACAGACACTGTTCTATAAACTGAAAAGGGAAGAGTTTTTATATATAAGAACAATTTTCAATTTTCAGGTTGAATGTGCTCTTATCTATATTTTTACCAAATTTCAGCCTGGGTGTTCTTAATCTACATGTTTGAGTATGCGGGTTTTTACCGTATTTCCTGATCATTAAGGACTAACCTCAAGTCAACTGTTTGAGACATTCTATTACCTGGTACCTGAAACTTATCCTCTCTCAGGACAGGGTTTTTCCAAGATGTCAGCAGAGTACATTCTTGGGAAAACAGTCTTGTTCAAGTCCTTTGAGGACAAAAAAATATCAGATCTCTTTACTCGTAGGTCTTTTCAGCATGTGACCAAAACTAACTGATTTTTTGTGCGCAGGTTCTTTCAATCAGACAAACAGTTTACTGAAGCATCATCACTGCTTCACTATCAGGTTGCGACATGATGCAACAAATGCAAAAAAACATAGATTATCCAGAAGCATAACACAGTGCAAATCACACTTTGGCGCGCATGGGAGAAAATAACGAGCAAAGTAGACATCTTTAAGTTAGATTGTCTTTGGAAACTTTCTTCGCTTGTCAAACCAAAGTCAGACATCAAAAGATTAACCAGTTTCTCACACTTGGATTAGAGAGCAAAAAAAGACCTCTGTCGAGAAACAAAAGGTTGTCTTAATAACCAATGGGCTTGAGGTGCAACGTAATCGAAGTTATGATCCACAACTGTACATCTGCATATGAATTTGCAATGAAGCCACTAAGTTAAATTTAGAACAACAGCAAATTTCCTCCAGTTCCCTTGTTCAGGTGTCCTCAGATCTCCTACAATGTCTTCAGGTCTAAATCAAGAAAATATTCATGACAACAATTAGTTCATAAAAAACATACAACCAAACAAAACTTGAGACACTATCATGCAGTAAACCAATTCATACATCCAAAGTGCGAAATTTTTAGCCAAAACAAGAACACAGCTCTGACGGAGTAAAGATGGAATTTCAAGGAAAATATGGGTTTCACTTTTGGTATTTTCTTGCTCTTAGGGCCCACAAGACTGATTCTTAAATTTCTTAAATGGCTTAAAAATGCTTAAAATTTACCAAAAAAATCAGTGTAAACAGCAAATCCCAGTAAGACAAACTTATGAAGAAGAACATTTTGTCATGCACCATGTGGGCACCTGAAACTATAATTCAGCCCTGATCTGTACATTACAACAGAACATCTATGCTATATGATGAAAGCACACATGAAAAGGAGGGAGAGAGAAACTCAGTAAAGAGAACAAAGATCCATTGATAACATCTTGGTATTGCTCCTAGTCTCCCTTCAGACTACACATATTATATTCATATTCACTTTAACAAAGGGCTAGCTTTGAAACTTTGCACTGTGGCTAATTTACATTTATCAACTCAGTTGATGAAACCAAATTGTTTGTTATATTCATGTATATACCTTACAACAACCACAAAACTAGTTTCATTTGTCAACATATCAAAGAATGGGTCGGAATTAATTGATTGTTAATAATATCAGTTGACAATCAACTCACTATGTTACATTCATCTACTACTGACTGATATCTTGGTCAATATATTGTTTGAGGCTAGCAATTCTACTCATAAAACAAGCAAGTCTGAGAAATTTTGTAGGTACAATTTATATACCATACAGTACCTTAACTCTTTTTTATTGTGAAGGATATGAAAGTTCACTGCTGGTACCAACAGTCTTAAAGCCATCCTCATCTTAAGAGAGTCTACTGTTTCCATTTCACTGAGAACAATTCTATTGGATACAATATACAGTATATGTATTTGTTTTCTTCTAAGTATTACTCATAATTTCAAATATATATACAGAAAACAACTTGATAAAATAGTTCTCATCCCATACATACATCTAGATTTCATAGAGCGCACTTTAAGAGTAAATAATGATAATAATGATGATAATAATAATAATAATAATAATAATAATAATAATAACATTAATTGACCACTTCCCCGTTGGTGCTTTTCACAAATTGTAAATAAACATTGTAAATAAGCATAGAGTTTAAAAGTCCCAACTAGCCAGTTGGCTATGTACATGTACAACATGGAGTAAAGGGTTTGAACTCAATGCAACTGAAAACAAATCCAGTAAGTAGCAGGGTGGAGGGCTGGAACCTGGGACCACCTGGTTACAAGCCCAGCACCCTAGCCACATGGCCACACTGCCTCTAGCTTAAATAGTATAAAATACCTCAATTTATCTTTATCAGCAACAGTGTCACTCAGTTCTGGAGAATCTGCACCTGTCATTACACTGTCTGAGTCTGTAAAATCATCCTCACCTGGTATATAAATTAAAACATAAGGACATGATGACAGCTGTTTATTTGTGAACCAGCAGAATAAAGCAATTTAAAGATGGTGAGACATATTTTTAGCATGCATATAGAACATCTTGACCCCCCTTCCAACATATTGCACAGTTGTACAATATACATGTACCGGTATGTGGCCAGTAGGATAAGTGACCTTGCCCCTAAGTGTAATGATGTTGCCCCCAAGAGAATATTAGACTCTGAGTAATTTATGCTTCTGAAAGTGATTAAGGGAAAACCAAGTCAAAGCAGGAGGTTCACTATTGTGATGACGTGGGAAAATTTAAATGGGAATTGCTGTGTGCTATGCCTCATTTGCTTTGCATCTTTACTGGATCAGTGATTGCTGAAAAAACCTAACTTTACAGCCATTTTGCCACTGTGCTGCTGATTATAAATGTTTACATCATTGTTTCAGATTTGGTGCAGCATGTGGCCTTCATGTATACCTATATAATGTAAATATGAAGAATTAATTCCTAACCTTGATCAGCAAAGGTCAACTCATAATACAAGTTATTAGCTTTCCTATACGATTCTGGCCAATTGTAGCCTTTCCCTATGGGCCTGTGGGGTTCCTGCTTGATTCCTTCATCTTTAGCTGACAAGCTTGTTCCATAGACATAGTACAAGCGTTTTACTTTACCATCCTTCTTTGGTCCCTTGAACACATAGTGAAATTTAAAGCTGTCCTCAGGTCGCACTTCAGCATCTGTGTTCAGAAAAATACAAGCTATAGACTACTTTGCACATATTATGGCTCAACTTTATCTGAGGTTCTAATCATTTTCCCTTCTTTAATCCCTTTAACTGCCATGAGTGATCAAGACGTAATTTCTCCTGACAAAATCAATACATTGTCAAGCAGAAAAGTAATAAGAACAAAGATGAATATCAGCTGGGGGATTCAAAATTATGTCAAATTGCTGGATCTTCTGAGATTTACACTGTGAAGTACCATCCTTCTTGTCTCTGATTGGACAAATGATGTATTTCCACACTAGTTCACTTCCAATCTTTGAAATGTATTGGTCAATAAGGAAAAAGCTCAGTGTGTAAGAAATAAAAACATCATACCATGGATAGTCCTTCAACAATTTTTATTCACATGTTGCGATGCTTCAAAAACTCACTGGTTTTGCAACAGGTGGCCCAAGCTCTGTCACAGGCTCTTTCACAGTGAATAATTAAAGAGTTTGTATAGTGGTTTAGTTGGACTTGCTTTTGAGCTCCGTAAATGTAAAGTTGTGTGAAATAATCAAAGAAATAAAGTCTTACCTTCGTAGAGAGTAGTCTGTGTTGTTCTCCTCGCGATTTGAGGCCGTTTTGATGTGTTTTAGCTTGACGCCCTAAATTACCGTGCATAAAATACGGGAAGGTCGGAANAAACAATTTTTCTTTACACATGGAATAATCTCTATTTAATAATGAGAACTTGGGAGTAAAGGGGTTAAACGCTGTTACAGTATAAGAACAGTGAACATAATTTTACTAACCCAAAAACAAACAAAAGATAAAAAACCAAGTATAAAATTGAAACACAACAGTTGTATGTACAGTGTATTTTGGGAAAGATTTCTCTGTAACCCCATACCAGTCAAAAACAAAGTCATAATCCCAAAGGTAATCTGTTCTTTTGCCTCTGCTTTGTTTTATCAAAGAATTGTATGCATAACGAAGTATGGGGTTATACAGAAATATTGCCGTATTTTGGTTCATTTTCTTTCATTCAGCCATACATTCATGTATTTGAAATGAGTGCATTTTGTTTTATTTCATGTTTAGATGATTACCAAAACACTGTTGCGAGCCACTATTAATTTTGTCTTGTGATAAGTTAATCAGTCAAATCCATGTTTACACGTATGAATCGTACCTTCACTAAAGTCATCAAGTCGAGGGTGATAGAAATATCCTGTTTTGACTTTCATATTTTCCTGTTCTCTCTTTTCATCTGGGAGACGATAACGAACTGTTCCATGTCCCAAATCTATCAAGGCTGGGGAGTCTAACATCAGCTGCTGTTGATTTGATGTTTTGAAAATATCATTTTTTGCACCTAAGCACGATTATGCCATGTGAGTCATGCACAGGCCCTACAAGGAGTCTGGCAAGCAGGTCTGACTTCCTTCAAGGTTAAGTTGCACCATGCTTGAAAAATGTTGAAAAAGATACCATGACGACAAACCAACAGCTTGAAACTAAGGATTTCAAATCCTTTGAGATTAAAGGAGAATTATACTTAAGATCCCACCCAATTTTTATCTCCCACATTTAAATAAGAGATTCCATGTACACAGGTAATAGACCTCGTAAAAATTATCAAATAGTTAGCAACGTTTGTACTTGTAAGTTGTATACGATGTTTCCCTTACCCCGTTTGCTTTGGTAAGCGCCTCAGCCCTCGGGCTTATCAAGTCCGAATCTCGTCTATTTGCAGAAGCAGCTGTTCCCATCTGGTTAGAAAGTGTCCAAATTCTAGATCCCTTTGAGAAATAACTTTCTTTGTCGCAGCGCCATCTTGTTTTCCTACTTATTTTGTAACCAAGCAGTCATTGAGGCACGCACCCGGATGTGACGTCAAATAATTTGTTGGTTGAGTGCAGGAAAGAGTACGACATCGTTCCCAGGATCCTCTATTGCTTCCCAGCCGAAACCGTGTAACACTTTGTCTTGGTGGTTTTCATCAATAGAACCTACTGACGATTCCCTCTGGAAACCCAAATCTAGCGACTATTTCTTCCAAAGCTTTGATGACTTCGCGTGAAGTGACCTCATGTAAAATTTACGCTATCAGATACGTTGAATAGTAATTGTAGCGTATCGCAAAAGTGTCGTAAATCTACGAGTAGAGGTCGTTTTCACTCTTTCGCAACAAAAAAATAAATGAAAACTATTCAGTGGATAAGGTTAAGAAATTGTAATGTTACAGAAGATAGGTAAAGAAGACACTCCTTCAAGTCCTAGGCCTTTTCTTCTTTCCAAACTTTAGATATTCGTCGAAAAGTTTTGCGCAAATTTGCAGAGCCCAGTATGGAGCCATCACCATCACCATCACCATCACCATCACCGTGCACTTTGGAGCAGTATGTCACGCAACGCCACGAATATGAACTTCAAACAGCGCTGGTTTCTGTTGTACACGTACGATGAAAGCTAAAGGGGGAAAATTACAATGTGCAAGATAAGGAAAAGTGCTAAGACTAGTTACAAAAAAAAAAAAAAAAA